ATACAAAAATATTAATCTATTAGTTTGCCAATTGATTTTTAGAGTATTTAAAGCGTTGCTTAGTTAAATAATTTATTTTGCGTATTTTAATTGCTTTAAAATCAACGCTTATGGGAGGGAAAGGGGAGGTAGAGAAAGTCGTTGGTAAATTGTATTTATCAATTAATCATTTAGATTGAATTTTAATTGAATGAAGTTTATTCTTGGTAAATGTATAGGTGTAGTACCTTTTGGTGGAGCACCTTAAGATTTAAATTTTTATTAATTTATCTTTAAACGATATATAGTGTACCAGGAACAAGTTTGAAGGAAGGTTCTCAAATGTTTAAGGTTAGTCGGCGAAGATTCGAGAAAGTAAAATGCATAATATATTATTTGCATTGTATAACAACTTTATATTCGTCTAATTACGTATAAACGCTTAAGTTATTGTTGTTGTGCAACACACATTCTAACATTTTTCAAGGTTGTTCCCGATGGTATAAACGGTTAAAATTTTCATATAGAAGTCAGTTGTTACCTTCTACTACTGCTCACACCGCTCGCTCACGTTATAAAGCAACTCAAGCTAGTATGTCACGTTTAAATCAGTTATAGAGCAGTATCAATTTGCCCCGAAGAAGAACATATCTGAATTAGAAGTGAATAAATTATATGTGATTTACGTCTGTGAAGCGGATTACATCATCTACAGGGCCATCAGTTGTTGATTTGTAGGATGGTTTATTCGTATTTTTACCAAAACGTATCGCGGAGGTTTATTAATCTAATTGTATTATTAAATTTATGTTTTAATTAATAAATTAATATTTATTTTTGTTTTTTTATTTTTTGTTCTGTTCAACTGCATTAAACTGGAAAGGTTTCGGTGGTTTATTGACTTTAAAGTTTCTAGATTTCTCCTTGCAGCTATCAGTTCAATTCCTTTTGATTTAGAACGCCCAGACGCGCGCCATTTATCACTCAACGTTCCACCGCTAGGTGACACCAATTTTAAATTTACGCGCGCCANGGAATTTTGAAGGTAGATTTAGCACATGCTCTTGACATGTTAGAAGCTCAAAATTTATTATCCTTCGAAGATTTAAATAAACGACTTCAGACTTTGTCATTTGAAGGTGAATCAAAAATCCACTTCCCTTTAATTAAGAAAAAAAACAATCTGTCGGGATCTGCATATCAAAACATGATGTTTATAATTATTATAATACCTTTTGTATTATCAATAAACGAACCAAATTACGCGTGGGAATTAATTTTGTTATTAAGAAAGATTGTACTTTTACTTCTAGCATTTAAATTATCGACAAACCAAGTGGCTTATCTAAAATCTTTAATTGATGATTATATAGATTTAAAGTGCAAAATTTTACCACAAATTCCATTTAAACCTAAACAACATTTCATAACCCATTATCCAGAACTATTTCTTCATTTTGGTCCACTTCGGCACTTGTGGACTTTGCGTTTCGAGCATAAACATCAATACTTTAAAAATGTAGTAAGACATTCTAATTGTTTCAAAAACCTCTTAAAAACTTTATCATATCGACACCAGCTTTTACAGAGCTTAAATATTGCACAAAACAAGCTGTATAATTCAGAATTTATTACTGAAAGTATTGAAATGTGCACAGAAAAATATTCCTCTGTACACTCATACCTTATGTCAATTAATGTTATTGATAGTACTGAGTATTTCATAACAGATCAGGTATTATACAGAGGAATTATATATGCGAAAAATTTTGTAATTTGTTACGGGCAAAATGATGTTGGCGATTATTTATTGTGTAAAATTAATAATATACTATTAAATTTTAAATTGAGCACATGTACTTTCATTGGAACTTCAGTTGTTGTATCGTCTGATCCCATTAGTGGATTATATTTCGCTAATAATAATGTTTCTGATAAATTAGTATACATAAATGTAATGTCTTTGATCTGCATAGAGCCCCTCTTTTGGTGCAAAATGTTGGTAATTACCATCAGTACTCTTTTAGGTCTGCACCACTTGAACTATAACTATCACACACATTACATTGTATTATACCGCTTAAAAATGCCGCTGTTTAAAGTATTCGACACGTAATAAACGGTTTATGGTAATGGTTCCTGATGGAGAGGATCTGTATGAACAAATAGTACTTAGAGGTAAACATTATTTCAATAATTTTATATTGCGTATATTTTGTTACTTCCTATAGTATAAAAATTTATTATTTCTTAGCTTCTACCAAATTACAAATAAATGGGGTATCGTTAGTGCTAGAAGAAGATGGTACAGTGATTGATGATACTAACGTACTCCGCGAGTTAAGGTCTGAACAAACACTTTTGCTCCTAACTGCCAACGAGAAATGGACGGAGCATTTAAATTTGACAACGACAGAATCAAGAACGTCAGGATTTAGTACGCCGACATCTGCTACATCTTCAATGCTATTATTTAATATTGAAAGTAGTGATAATATTGCAAATCTGAATGTTGAAAATGATAACACTGAAATTAATAATATTGAAATTAATAGTATTGAAATTAATGATATTGAAAATGAAATGAATGTAATGAATACTGAAACATTATTTAATAGAAATGAAGAACTCGACTGGACTAGATTCCAAATACCTTATCACAAGTTCCCAGTTAACTACTTACATTTATGTGAACAGGGGACAAAACACAAACAAATTATTACAGATATGGTCCACATAATTGTAAATGAATTAAGAACCATAGATACCCAACCACCGATGCGTACACTCAAAAATATAGCTAGAGAAATATCGCAAACGTATCCTAAAACTTTCTGCGATGTAGACGATGACGGTGCAGTGTTAGAGGATGGGTCCGCAAGTTTATTTTTCAAATTACATGAACGGATACATTATTTAAGGAGGCCACACAAACGGTCAAATAATAGTGTAGAACCAACAACTCCAAAAAAATTAAAAAAAAAAAACTTCTGCACAGGCAGGATGCTCACAATGGGCACCTGTTGTAGTTAACCACATTGAAAACATCAATTATATTGATAGATTGAATGTTTTGCATCGATCAAAAATAGAAAATGATGAATTTTTTAGTTTATTAGACAAGGCGTACGCAACACATCGTTTGTTTTTAAATAATATTGTTTCGCCGCCTTCCGTTGAAGATATTATTTCGAAGTATCCCGTGATTTTTAATAAAAAAGCGATTTATTTTCATTTTAAAAAGTTGACGGATGTGGACCTCCATAAGATATCAGAAGTTTTAAAAAATAAACAACAAAACATAATCAGTTTTGGTATTAAAAGTAAAATTATTCAATATAATGAACTAAATAAGAACAAATAATGATCGCTTAGCTTTAGAAATTATTGCGAAATATTTCAAAGACAAAATAGAGCACATTCTATATAAATTTGAGGTAAATAAAAATTT